CAGCAATTTAACCATAAAAAGTGAACAGAATCACTTACATTTTGTGAAAAAGTGGAAATGTTTTTTTTTTACTTTTACTATTTACAGTGACGTAATCACTTTAACTATCCGCTGCAATTTACTGCTATCACGACTTTCTTCGTCACAATTTTCTTCGTCTGCGACAGACCGGCATCGTAACCATGGCGCCCCGAGATGGTGGGAAGCACGCATCCTACATCTATATATATATATATATATTCAAGAGTAGATAATAACAGTGATGAGTGTTATTATCTACTCTTGATATATTGGATTATAAAACTGCAACACACCGACAAGTGATAGTAAGATTTGCATCAAATTCGTCGCGTTTTTAATGAATTTTCTGCGAGTATATTACATTATAATAGCCAGTATGCACTTCATCTATTTGTAGCGCAAATCAAACTGGACAATCGCATACTCGTGACGTTCAAGTGGACCGCTATCTATCGAGAGCACACTCTTCAACGACAATTACCTACAGAGCAGCAAACGCCAATCAGGAATGGAGCCAGTTGGTGCAAAAACCATTGCAGCTGCTGCCACCTTTTACCAGTTAAATTTACAAATGATATGCCGCTCTGACAAAATAAAATCGCACACGCGAGTCTTACTTATTACTGGGGCACGTTTAAATATTCCTTACATTGAGACACAGAGCGCGGTTACATACTTACGCTATGTAAATAAAGAGATGGAGCGTCGTAACTTGACAGCGTGGCAATCATAACCACAGGCTGTTGCCAGCTATATATGTACGCCTCTGCATAGATGAATCATTCCCCTAACTGCATAACGCGAGCCGAACGAACAAAGCTGTTTACTGCCAACGCCTTGCACGCATGGCTCGCGTTATCCGTGGGTAACCGGTCTCATCCTCAAACCTAGTCGTCAAGTTTTAGTAACTCAACGTAAGCGTCCGTTTGCATTTAGCAGATATTCGTGGCTGTCCGTGCGGATGAGTTGTATATATGATGAGTGGATAAGTACGTATAACTATATATAAAAGCGGTCGCAACACGATCGCTCAAATTGTTCAGAACTACAGGAGCAGATGGTAGAAAATTGAATAAAATATATATAATTATGTGCACGAATCGATTTGCGAAACACAACACGTCATTTATTCGTGACAAGTATTAACAATTTTTATAAGCCGAATTCGTTATAGATACTGCATGAAAAACATTCCTAATATTCTGAATAGTTTACGCGATCAGCTTTCATACCTAACTCAACGAATATTCTGACCACCGGAATATTCTATAAACAAGGTTTTTTAGCGAAAGTTCTATAGCACTAGTAAATGTATGCGAATATATACGACTGTGTATACACGCACATACACCTATCTAATACAGAACCTGGTATAACCCCATATAAAACGTTATGTCGCAAGTGCATAGTTTACCACGTATTTACAAAATTTCAGTGGTTACTAATTAACCAATAATCAATGAGAACTTGAGTGACTGTCACAATATAGTTGGTATGACTATTACTACTACTAATAATAACTAATCATAATAAGTAATCACAGCCCGTTATTAGTGATCACGTTACGATTATCCACATTATTATAAGAACACACCCAGCAAGATACATACATTCATCTAGATAAGTGTTAAAAGGCAATAAGCTACTGTACCGTTTGTCGTTCGTCTCATTACACTAGCTGAGACAAATGAACCATTACAAGAGTATCCGGTGACGATGTGTCTGTCTGACGTGGCGCGCCTGGATCGCCTCTACCTCTCTCGCTCATGCGCTCTCTCCACGTTTATTTGATAGACGCGCAACGCACTACTTATATTGTAGCTAGTTATCAGTAAAAGTCAACAAGCACGCGTGGACGGGCCCATGATGGTTAATGTACCACATAGTTCCCACAGGCTTCGCACCTGTCGTTCACATATGATAGTAAGATGCAAAATAACGATACGAGTGTTTATCGGCTCAACCGCCTATCTCTACTCGCATGCAAGACGTCAACGCAATCGACACGACCACTTCACACGAAGTGCGCGCGATTTTTATCTGCATTAGCGAAGCGGTAACGGATAACGAAGGCATCCCTCACGTCTGCTGTGCCGATAGCGGGGCTCGCGTGTTCAGTTCGCGCGTCTAAGAAAGAATCATACGCTGAACATGCCCCCCTTGTTAATATTGATTGACTCGGAAAAAATGTAGACAGCTGCTATATACGTAAGTTGCTAGCCAAATTACCCACTGGTCATGCAACTACTAGGCCTACCTCCATGGTTACCGGGTTACTAAGTAGTGTTATGAAATGATCTTTTTTTCGAGGATGTATATTGTAAATTGTAAATAAGGCTTAGGTTGGTTGCCGCAATTAGCTCACTAATTGGTTTGAATCACATTAAACACCATTATCTACACAGACATCTGTATCCTATATACATGCGAACATCTATGACTAACCACGCACCGCACCGGCGCGATATGAATTCTGAAATCATGCTAAACACCAACGCTACGGTGAGCGCGTGAATGCTGAGAAGGTAGAAGTGGGATAATGTAAAGAGCGTATAAAGAAGGAGAACGTACAATGTTGAAATGGTGAAACCATGTTACAGTATTAGTCGAATTCAGAAACATTTATTGATCATGCAGCTGTCCTACTTTGTATAAAACAAACCGCTTGTCCTTACGATGCTCCTACGCTGAAATAATGAGCGGTGAAAATCTGGTATTTTCGCCGAAAACCGACTCGAGATCAGTGTTTACTGCGACTGTCTCTCGCTTTGTGGCCAGTGTATTGCTTCCGGTCGCCGCTGCATGTGTAGCGCCATGGTAGCGCTGACTCACGTCAGATTCATCTTCTCACGAGATTACTATACATCAGGCTATACATCCAGCGTGGGGTGGGCACAGGTGGCCATCACTATGAAAATCAATAACCGACGTCATTCATTCCATTTGTCAATCATTGATGGAAACACGCGAGGTTTGCCGAAGTTATCTCAAAGCGAGAGATAAGGTTACGCTTCGTTTACCCTGTTTATTTTGTAACCATGGCATATAGTGGCGCTCATAGGGTCTATGTCCCCCAGGGTACTGCCGGAACGTACCCTGGGTACGGTCCGGTATATCGGAACATACCCTGGTCACTATTTGATATGGCAGGGGCGTGTACAGGGGGGGGGGTCCAGAGAGTCCGGACCCCCCCTGCTCGCGCAGAAAACGCATCTGAGGGAGTCTAATTTCAAAAAAATTCTGGCCGAGGGCCCCCCAGACAAACCCTTCGGTGTCGCGTTTTGGTTACGTAGACCCCCCTGCTACAAGCCTGGGGGTTAGATTCATCAAGTGCGTACGCCAAATAGTTTGGTAAATCTTTGTGTTTACGCAATCGCGTTGTGTTTAGTTTGGATTTCATCAACACAGCTATTAGTAATTTTGCGTACAGCATTTCGGCTACGCAGAGCGAGCGCAGTTTTTGGTGCGATTCCATCAGGCTAATATTACGTAAACTTTGCGGAACTTTATACAGAGCTGACGAGGTGCCGTAAACACTGAAATTTCCGGCAGTTTCAGCATGACCGGAATACATTATTTTATTGAGAAAACACTATAAAATTTACTACGTAAATATAAATATAATAAAATACTTTACCACTTACTACACAGACGGCGGAGACCTTTGCGATTTTTTGTTGCTTGGCATTGGTTTTTCGTTATAAGCGAGTTTAGTTAGAGTGTACGTGCACACGAACACGCAGTGTACGTGCAACGCACGCACGCACACGTGCAAGCACGACACGCAGTGTACGTGCAACAGCGCACGCACGCCGTGTTACGTACACACGCACACACGCACGTGTACGTGCACACGCACGACGGCACGCGTGTACGTGACTGACGGCACGGTGTACGTGCACACGCACGAGACGAACGTGACACGTAATCACGCAAGCACGTGGACGTGCACACGCACGCGAGCCATGTAAGTACACACGCACCAGCACGTGTACGTGCACACGGACGTAGTGTAACTGCACAGCACGCACGTACGCGTGTACGTGCAACACGGCACGCACGGCGGCGCCCGTGTAGCTACAAACGCACGCACGCCACCACAAGTGTCGTGCACAGCACGCCGCAGTTTAAGTGACACACGACGCCCGACACGTGAACATGCACGACCGAACGCGCACGTGTACTGTTACACACCACGTGTACGTGCACACGCACGCAGCATGCCCGTGTACGTACAGCACGCCGCAAGCATGGCACGGTGACACGCACGCACCACGCACGCACGCCGTTGTACGTGCACATCACGCACGCACACGTTGCACATGACGCCGCACGCAAGCCACGCACGCACCACGTGTAGTGACACGCACGCATGCCGTTACGTGTATTGTTCATGAGTGTTTGACGATCATACAAACGAAATGTGGACACTAACAGTCCCCAGCACTATGTTGACAGGGCTAGATGAAGCATTGGTTTAAAGTACAGAAAGCGTCAAGTTGGTTCTATCGTATGTGTCGCCAGTGTGATTGGTTTATGCTATGCACGTCTCAAAGCCAGAAGCACGATGGCGTAGTGGATTTACATGCGATTCATCAAAAATTTGCGTAAGCAGGGGCTACGGCTGCGATTGGATGATCGACCTACGAGCTTTGCGTACGTACTTCGTAGAAACTCGGTGTACGCAATACACTTTACGCAACGTTGATGAATCCGGCCCCTGTACACCAGGGGCGGATCCAGAGGGGGGGTCGAGAGGGTCCGGACCCCCCCTTTTTACCACAAAAAAGGAAAAAAAGGAACATACACACACATACACACACGCACACACACACTTATGTACGACAATTTATGTACGATGACTTATGACAATACAAGTACATCATCCAATATGGGCAACTTTCGAGCAATTCTTGAAATGATAGCCAGGCTCGATGACATACTTAGAGAACACCTTGACACCAGAATAAGAAATGCTCAGTATACATTAAAGGCAATTCAGAACGAAGTGATCGATTGATGTAGTGGCGGAATACATTCGCAATACAAACACACGAAGTCTTAATGATGAGAATGCCTTCTTTTCCATCATAGCAGACGAGGTAACAGATCCCCATGGAAATCAAGAAATTCTGTCTGTGTGCCTGAGGATGCTGTCTGACTGTAAAGTGAACGAGTTCTTTTTTGACTTTGTGTATCTTGAAAGAGCAACAGGTGAAGCAATAGCTGATGCTATTATCAAGAGTCTGAAAGATCACGGCATTGACATCAGTAAAGCTAGAGGCCAGAGCTATGATGGTGCTTAATGCATGTCCTCTGAAAGGGTTAGCGTTCAGGTGCGGATAAGAGAAGTATCCCCACGGGCCTTATATGTACACTGTAACAGCCATGTTCCCAACTTGAGCATTGCCAGCGCCTGCAAACTACCTAATATCCGGAACATGATTGACACGCTGAATGCTGTGTTCCTGTTCTTTGACCTGTCTCCAAAACGACAACGTTTTCTGGAAAGAATTATAGGGCAGTTGGCGCCAGATCTCAAGAAGAAGACGCGTGTTGCATTGTGCAAGACCAGATGGGTAGAGAGGCACACATGCTATGACGTATTTTACGACATGTATGAGCTCATCTGTGAGTGCTTTGCAGCTATAGTGGACCCAGCCAGCCATCCAGAAATCTATTACGACAATTGGGCAGGCAGTTGGGACCAGGAGACCAGGACAAAAGTGCAAGGACTGTTGAAGAGCCTTGAGTCATCCCAAACCATGCATCATCGCCATTTGAACTCGAAGTATAGATAGAATAGCCTAATATATAGACTAAAGACAGGATAAAATATAGACAGCACGTAAATATCAACACCAGGGCGCGGCCATCTTGGATCATACTATCACGTACTACTATGGTCAGGGAAAACAAGGGGTGTATACGCGGAAAGCGATAACGCAAGATAAATAGAATATAATCATCTGCGCGGTTATGTATTATTAGTCAGCATAATATATGAGGAGATTTAAATAGAATGAATAGTCTACGTTGTCGGAGAGAGGAATATTTACTTAGAAACGAGTTGCATAAGATGATGCAATCACCGTACTAGCCAC